CCAGTGGGGTAGCAGTTGGGGGTAGAGAGAAGAGTTTGGATTCTGGATATGTGTCATTTATTTATTTTTTAAAATGTTTACTTATTATTTTGAGAGAGAGAGAGAGAGAGAGAGAGCGAGCAGGGGAGAGGCAAAGAGAGGGAGAGAGAGGGTCTCAAGCAGGCTCTGCACTGTCAGCTCAGAGCCAGATGTGGGGCTCGAACTCACAAACCACAAGATCACGATCTGAGCTGAAATCAAGAGTTGGATGCTCAACTGACTGAGCCACCCAGGCGCACCCTGGATATGTTTTAAAAAGTGGACAATAGAATTTATTGGCAGGTTGGATGGGGGGTGTGAGAGAAAGGAGTTAAGGTTTTCAGTATGTGCACACACGAGTGTAAAGTCTATATAAAGCTGAACATTATCCGAAAGTGTCTGGCTTAACTGCTTACTTATTTTTGCTCTAGCCCAAAGCCCCACGATGGAAGGCATACAGTTCTCTCATTGCTGTGTGCCTAGAGTCTAGAACAGCCTCTCTTTCTCAGCACAGAGCCCTACGTGGGGCTCGAACTCACGGACTGAGAGATCATGACCTGAGCCGAAGTCAGATGTTTAACCTACTGAGCCAACCAGGCGCCCCGAAGAAAGTGTTTATTGTAAGTAATGGGATTTCAGAAAAATTGTAAAGAGTTCTGTTATTTTCTGTCTTCTCTATTTTCAGCTTTGAGTCTGTATTCATGTAAAAATAATGCATTTGCTGAATTATAGAAAATAAAAGAACTTTGCAGAATTATGTGATAAAAACATTTAAAAATTGTTAAGACTATTATTAAAAAGTGAAAGCTTCCACATTCTACAGAAGGCAAGCTGTTATTTTTTTTTAATTACATTTTTTTAATGTTTATTTATTTTTGAGACAGAGAGAGACAGAGCATGAATGGGGGAGGGTCAGAGAGAGAGGGAGACACAGAATCGGAAGCAGGCTCCAGGCTCTGAGCTATCATCACAGAGCCCGACACAGGGCTCAAACTCACAGACCGTGAGATCATGACCTGAGCTAAAGTCGGAAGCTCAACCGACTGAGCCACCCAGGCGCCCCAGCAAGGTGTTATTTTGAAAGCCAATGTCAGTGTAAGTCAACGAATCCAAACACTATAAAAAATTAAATCCTAATCCTATAGAATAAAATGACCTTGTTTGAGATGTAGGGTCCGTTGCGAGGACAGAATAGACTTTATGAATGCTGTTTCTCTACAAGGACACTCCTGGGGACCAGCTCTCAGCCAGCCAGTCAACTGTACTGAGTTCCCATTAATCATCTCTAGGCTTGATTCAAAAGGAGGTTTTTAAGAGATGCCAACCTTCCTATAATCAGGACTTCTGTTTTCTGGAACACACCAGGGCTCACGGGGTTTCCGTAAAGGGACTTCAGTCCTGTGCTCACGGGGTTTCCGTAAAGGGACTTCAGTCCTGTGCTCACGGGGTTTGCGTCAAGGGACTGCAGTCCTGTGCCGTGTTTGCTGTTCGGGGCTGACTGTGCTGGCTTTTCTCCTTCCTTAAGCAATGAGGCTAATGGCTATCTCCCGGCTTTGTGAGTGCAGCAGGATTCCTTTCTCTAGGTCATGGGAGCTTTTGCAGAGCATGGCCTGTGTCTGACATGTCTGGCTAGCTCTCATGTGTGAGTGTGGGGCTTTGAGTAGATGTGCCGTGCTTTGTGGTGATGAAGCTTCCGGTCCCTTCCTTTCTGGATAGGGCACAACCTTGGAGAAAGGTGGCATGAATCTGGGTGACACTGGGCTCCTGTCTTGTCACCTGTCAGTGGGTATTAGACGGAGACATCCCGGTGATTAGCCAAATGTGTGACTCCAAGCCTTACCAAAGATCCCCTCTGGTCTTTTAGTGATAACAGAGCCCTCTATTGACGTGACAGACTAACGTGTCTCAGGACAGTGTCAAAGCCATTAAGAGCCCTATGACTCAAATCAGTCTTGAGTTGGGCTCCCTGCTTCACCGCACTTAGACCGGGCCATCCCAGGCCATCCCGGGCCATCCTGGGCCATCCCGGGCAACAGCCTCCTCTCTGTAACCTACATGATTTAGCCTAGCTCATAGTGAACTTACCACGTTATTTTCCTCCTAACTTCCTTTTCTTCGGGAGAAGGTGTCCAGTTTGTGATTCCAGGAAGTTCCTCACCCAGGGAATGCCACAGCTCCCATCCTTCGAATCTTGTATTTTCACCCCAACACCCACAGCTCCCCAAGCCCTGACACACAACTCAGGCTAAAGCACTGGCCAGGGGCTTGGAAAATCTAGGAGCATCTGCAAGATAGACTCTTAGAGAGTCTTTCAGGGACCAGAGAGGTAAAGGATCTAGCCTTTCCACACTGCAAGGATGCTGTACTTGTCATACCTGAGACGGGGGTCTCCCTCATGCACAACAGAGCCCATCTCTGATCAAAGTGCCTCGACGGACTCTTCCTTCTCTATAGGGGCCTCTGGGACTTCTCAGGAGGGTCCTGCAAAATTGGAAAGGTGTCTCCCTGTCTTCTTGCTTTCTGGGTTTACCACCTTTGCTCGGGGACACTGAGGCGGAACGTGGGCATCTGCATTGGATATCAGCTGAGGAACTTAACCCTGGGCTCCCTGGGGGGGGAGTGGAGATTGGGTACTCGGGTGCCCAGCGTGTGGTGTTGGGGGTGTGTGTGATTTAAATGGCTCTGGAACTTGATGCTGTTACAGAAAACACCCAAGCTGTCAGGAAAACTGGGATCTTTTCACTGAAATTCACAAGGGCCATGGGAAAGGCTGTCATTGGCCAGGCTCCCAGGCCTCCGGAACACGGGGAGAGGATGGGGTGCAAGCCCCGCCCAAGCTCCCGGGGGACGGAGTTGGCACCGATGACTACTGGTCAGTCCCTGGACGGCGGGCCAGGCATTTCAAAGGGTGTGGGAGCTAAGAGGCCCTCCTCAGCCGCGCTCTCTATCTCGGTGGCCCGCGCCTCCAGCGAAGCCGGGTAGGAATTGGAGTCTGGGTGGGAAGCAGACTTGAATCTGGGAGAAACAGTTGCGGTGGAGGAAGATAACAGAAAGCTTAAATCCGGGACGAGGGGCGCAGTGTCTTGAGGTCGAGCCCATTTTGCGCCACCCGAGCCCAGAGCGAGGCGTCCCTTTGGAAGGGGTGCAGCGGCCCCTCCGGCACCGACCTCCTCGCCCAGGGCCCCTTGCCCCATCAGCAGTGTCGAGGAAGGGTCCCCAGCGGAGGACAGGGATCTGCGGCCATGGCCGAGGCAGCGGAGCTGGAGGGAGGGCCCCCAGGCCCCCAGGGGCCGCCCGAGGCCCCAGCGCCTGTGGCGGAGAGACCCGGTGAGCCGGGAGCCGCGGGCCGGGAGGCGGAGCGGGAGGAGGCCAGCGAGGGAGCCGCGGAGGCGCCGAGGGGCGAGGGGGCGGGCGCAGCCGCGACGGCCGCGGTGAACCGGGCAGAGAGCCCCGACCCGGACGGAGGGCGCGCGGGCGAGCGGGAGCCCGGCGCGGACGGTGGCCCGGCGGCCGAGACGCGGGGCGCGAGGGCGGCGCAGGGGGAGGCGGAGGCCGAGGAGGGCGCCCCGGGGTGCGCCGACGGCCCGCAGGGAGAGGAGGGGGCGAGCGGCGGGGAGCAGGTGGAGGACGCGAGCCCCGGACGCGGCGCGCAGGGTGAGGCCGCGATGGAGGTTCAGGGGGAGCCCGGGGAGCCCGAGGCCCCCGGGGCGGAGGAGAAAGCGGAGCGAGGGCCGGAGGAACCGGGAGGCAGCGCGCCGGGGGCGCAGGGGCCCGGCATGGACGCAGCGGGGCAGGCGGGAGGGGCGCACGGGACCCAGGGTGAACCCTGGGACGGAGGGGACCGCAGCCCCCAGCCCCAGGCCGAGGCCACGGAGGCCGCGGCGGCGGAGATTGGCGGGTGCGGCCCCGGGGAGCTGGCAGGGGAGCCTCGGGATGCAGCGGCGGGGCCTGCCGACGAGGCGGGGGCCCCGGGGACAGAGGAGTCGGAGGAAGCGGCCCCCGGGGACGCGAGGGCGGAAGCCGTCGAGGAAGGGGACCAGGGTGGACCCCAGGAGGAGATGGAGGAGGCAGAGGAGGAGAGGCGAGAGCGCAGCCCGGAGGGGGCGGGCGAGGAGGAGCCCCCCGACAGCAGCAGCTCGCATCCAGAGGCGGCTGCGCCGACCGGGGCCGCGGAGCCGGAGGCCGAGCTCAGCAACCACCTGGCGGAGGAGAGCAGCGTCGAGGGCGCGGACGAGACCGCGCGGGTGAACGGCCGTGGGGAGGACGGCGAGGCGTCTGAAGAGGGGGCCCCGAGACAGGAGCACGACATCACCCTCTTCGTGAAGGTAAGTTGAGCTTTCCCCAGCTCTTAGCACGCCCCGTCCCATTTTTGGTCTTGGTCTTCCAGGGGTCCCCAGTGTCAAGAGGGTCACTTCCATTCCTAGGAGGGAGGCAGGACATCCTGGGTGTTTTGGGAGAGTTTTAAGGAGCGTTTTAGCGAGACACGATGGTTTGGAAACGAAGAGGTTGGGTGGAGGCAGTCGGGGGACGTGGGGGGATGCAGGGCCAGCACCCCACTGTCCTTTGCTCTGAAAATCCAAACTGGCCCTTCTCCTCCGGAGGTTATTGAAGAATTAACTTAAAGAAGAAAAAAAGCGACACACCTTATTGATGTTCAGAGAAATTGATGCCAAAGAAAGCTTAATACTTGAAGAGGGGGAAAAATGCAAACGGGTTGTAATGCGAGAAGTATCCCCAGGACTCCGATTTCAGAGGCCCAGGGCTGGCCAGGGTTTTCAGCCCCCCAAGAGTATCCCTCTTTGGTGGGTAGAATCGATGAGGTCTATTTGGAAGGAAAGTGGAAATTCATGTAAGTATTAGGGTGTTTATTGAGCATTTTAACATTTATTCTGGACGTTTACAAGATGCTGGTGGCTTGAACGCAATCTGCCTTTATGTCGTATTTCAAACGTACTTCAAATGGGAGAACAGTGAATTTGTTAGGGACTCTGTAGGGCACGACTGAGTACCTCAGTTTTGAGGTTTGAGTTTAAACAGGCATTTCTACAAGGCATCAAAAATGAGAGACGAGGTCCAGTGGTAGCCACCCCCCACCCCCTGCCCCCCACATGGGGATCTTGGTTAAAAAAGCCCGTTCTGAAGACCTGTGGCCAGACCAGGAAAGCAGCAGATAATAAGGCCAAGAATGTGCATTGCATGTTGAATCATAATCCTTCCAGAATACTTTCAGGCTTATACAAGCCAGTTAGGACCTAAAGCTCCTTGCGGGGAATGTAAGCAAATTCTAATAAGCAAAAGGAGAAATGTTTCCAAAGTGATTAACATCAGAATTTCAAGAATTGTTTGGGTGGCAAGGGGGTTAGGGAGGAGAGGGCATGTATTTCTTCACTAGTGGGAAAGGGCTTTTTTGAAAACCTTGGAGCCTTTTAAGATTATGCGTTGGGATAGAACCTAAGGGCACAGCCCCTCGAAAGGGCCTCTGGGAGCTAGAAGTTTGCAGGGAAGGGGAAGGAGAAGGAGGGGGAAGGGGGAGGGGAAGAGCCAAATGCCCTGCCTGTGCTGTGTGCCCCAAATCTGCTCTTGATCTGAAAAATTCCCATTGCTCTGGTCTCACGGCCACCTGATTCCAGCACATCTTTCCAGCCTCTTGTTACAGTTCGGAAATACAGTAACACCTTCCTACCTTGTCCTGCTTCCGTTCTCCACTGTCTCCAACCCAGGCCCTTGGTGACAGCCAGTGAGCTACACGTTGTTTCAACGTGTAAAATTCTTCAGTTGTTTATTGCGGAATTTCAGATAAGTCCACACCCCTTAGCCCGGCCACAAGGTCAGTCCCTCATGATGTTATTCTTGCCTCTTTGGTGTTGTCTGGATGTCTCCACCCCCCTCCCCTGCCCCCCTTTGTTACCGATGGTACCACTACGGCAGCCATATTGAACGAGTTACTTTTCCTTGAGCGAAACACATTCTTTCCTGCCCGGAGATTTTGCAGGTGCTGTACCTTCTGCCTGAATCAAGTTTTTTCCATCTCGACTCTCTCCCTGCCCCCTGCGGGGTGTCTGGATTCATCATGGGGAATCATCTCCTCTGGGGAGCCTTTTCCAACCCCAGTCTGGGTTGGGTGTCCCTCTGTTGAAAGTCCACTCACGTCCTGTGTGTTTCACCTCTCCCCTTGACTGTGTGAAATTCATCTTCTCCCCTCCATGTGGAGCACAGGTCTGGAACACGATGAAGATTTGAATGGGTGCCTGTGTGCACGACAGCCACGGTTACCATGATAATCAATAGCATGGACCCACAGCCAGGGGATCAAATCCTGGCTCTGCTGCTCTCTTGCAGTGTGACCTTGGGCAAGCTACTTAACTTGTCTAAGCCTTTACTGCTTATGGATAAAGTGGGGATAATAATAGTACCTACCGGTGAGGTTGTTCAAGAATTAGATTATGTAAAGCACTTAGAAGAGTACCATGGCTTGAGATAAGCATGGTGCGAACCTGTATTCTTACTGTTATATCTGCTTAGCTTCCACAAACTTCTATTGCTTTTGCACAGAAATAGTCCCCTGCCCATTTCATCCCTGCCTTCCTTTTTTTTCTTTAAAGGAAAAATCTCTCTAGATACCTAATTACCTCCATTCTCTGGGGATAGGAATGTTATGGAAAGTAAAAATGCATTTTTCTTCTCAGATCCTGCTCGGGAGGCAAGGGGCTTTTTTTTTTTTTTTTTTTTT